GAACGTATACTAGCAGTTCTCTTGCCTTTCTGTTGTTTGGACTCCAAACGGAATATCATGGGCTCTCCAGCTTGCCAACTAGATTTCAGTACTTCTCAGACACCATAATCATGTGAGGAATTCCTTACAATGATTCTTTGTACACATACACAGTTGTGTTTCTTTAGAGAATCCAAATAGTTTCTTCTGGCATCTGTTAAAAACTACCATATTTTAGTGGCTTAAAATAAAACAAATTTATTACTTAATAGTGCTAGAAGCCAAAGAATGGCATGGCATCACTGGGCTAAAATTCACAGGTCAGCAGGGATGTTTCCTTCTTGAAGCTGTAAGAGATAACCCATTCCTTGCCTCATTCAGGTTCCAGAGGTTGGTTACATACTTGGCTAGGGGCTCCCTGCTTCCAACATCAAAGCTAGGAAGAATGAGTTGAGCCTTTTCCCCAGAGTCACACTGACTTCTCCTGCCTCCCTCTTCCACAGTAAAGAACCATTGTGATTATTCTAGACTACTCCCATAATCAAGCTGTTCTTTAAGAACAGCTAAATGAGAAGCATTAATTCCATCTTAAACCTACCTTTCTGCCTGCCATGTAACATTCACAAATTCTAGGAGTTAAGATGTGGGTATCTGTGAGGGCCATTATTCTGTCTGCCCTAGCATCCTCCATCATTTATTTTTGCTGGTCATAGGGCAGGGCCTAGCCACTGTCCCTGAGCTTTCTTGTTCAAGGCTAGCACTCTAGCACATGAGCCACACCTCAACTTCTGGCTTTTTAGTAGTTAATTGGAAATCAGATCTCATGGGCTTTCCTGCCCAGGCTGGTTTCAAATCATGATCATCAGATCTAGGCCTCCTGAGTAGACTGGCTCGGGTCACAGGTGCAAGCCAACACCCAGCATTTCATCAATGTTTTAACTTTCTTCATAGTGCTTATCTCTCCTAATATATTACACAGCTGGTTATTGTCTCTCTTCCCCTACTAGAATACAGGCTAGATGAGCACAAGGATTTGCTTCTGTATTCCAAGTTCTGAAATCAATATCTGAACCACAGTAGGTATTGATGTAACTAAATTAATGCAGCTAGCAATTTTGTTAGTGAGGATACAGTATAGGGGGTTCCTGATTGCCTGTTTTCTAAGAAAGTCAGAAGGCTGAGTGGGAAATCATTTGCTGGACTTTGCAAGCACTGCTGTAGAAGACCAAAACAAATTACATGCTTTCTTCCTCCCCCTTTTAAAAGGTTCAGTACTTGCTCACAGTAACACAATTAAAAGAAAAGACCAAATACTGAACTGTTCAGGTTTGACTAAATTCTTCAATCTGGAGGAGTTTTTGTCTTGTTTTCCTGTTGACTTTGCTTTCCACTGCCTACTAAAGAAATTCCTACTCAATGTAGCAAAGCCACAGAGGAAACAGAAGTGAGACAGATTTGCAAGTGTTTGCTTTACTATTTCTATAGTAGCCACCACAGAAGTAGTCTCACAGTCAAGTTCCACACTTGAGGACCCCTTATACTCTACAACCTTGAACAGGTCCTGACATTCAGGACAGCCACACAAATTCAAGGTGGGCACAGGTTGGACTATCTGTACTGAAATGGTAGCCTCCAAATATTCCATGACTGCAGTCAAGTTTCTTATCCTTTTTCTGAGCCGTTATCTCTTTTGCAAAATGGGATGGTGACAGTACTTACCTCCTGGGGATTCTCCCAAGAATTAAATAATATTCATAATACATTTACAATTTGAGACTTACTAAGTATCCAACTAACAGCAGCACCATTTTCATTTGGCAACCCATCTAACTTCTCATGATATTCTACTGAGTCAGTAAATAAAGCTGAGCAAGTAGACAAACTCAAATCCCTACACAACTCATTACCAATAGTCTCTTCGTGCTAGCAACAGTTTACATGTACAACATACTTATGAAACAAGGATTTTAGTCATTGTTTTAAGACCACTTGACCTAACATGTAAGAATTTTTCTTAGGAGATGGGTGCTGATGATTCATGCTTGGAATCCTAGTTACTCAGATGGCTAAGACCTGGAGGACAATGATTCAAACCCAGCCTGGGCAGAAAAGCCCAGGAGACTCCACCTCCAAAATAACTAGCAGGAAGCTAGACTGGAGGCAGGATACAATTAGTAGAGCACCAGCCATGAGCAAGAAAGTCAAACAAGATCTTAAGGCCCTGTGTTCAAGTGCTGGTACTAGCACACATTTTTTTTCCTTGACAAAATGCTTTCAAGCTTATCTGGGAAACACATTTTCCCATACCTGTTGCTATAATTCACAATTCCTCTTCCTTTCCCTAAACAAAAATATAGGCCAAACTGCAATCCTTGGACCAGTAGCATCAGCATCAACATCACTGGAAAATCTGTTAGAAATGCAGATTCATAGGATCACATGAGGTCTAGTGAATCAGACTTTCATGGCATGTAAATTGTTTTGTTTTGTTTCCAGGTACTGAGATTTGAACTCAAACGAAAACTCACTTGCTGGTGATAAGAACCTCTGCATCTTGGACTGCTGAATAGCTAGGTGGGATCACCAGATACTCAGCTAGCAATCTGTTTAATTAAAGTCCTTTCCTAGTGATTCTGATGCATGCTGAAGTTTGAGAACCATTGCCCTATACAACTCACATAGCTAACATGTCCTATAAAAAGCATCGCTCCATTGTGTCACTAATCCTGTAATTTTCACGTCTTTTCTCTCCATATTCACATGTATGCCTTCATTGTCACACTGAATTTACTTCAGTTTCTAAGAGGCCTTTCTTTCCTTTTTTGTGCCAGTTGTGGAGTTTGCACTCAAGGCCTGGGCCCTGTCCCTAAGCTTTTTTTGCTTAAGGCTAGACTAACTCTACCACGTGAGCCACAGTTCCAGTTCTGGCTATTTGCTGGTTAACTGGAGATAAAAAAAAGTTTTATGGATTTTCCTGTCTGGGCTGGCTTCAGAACTGCAATCCTGGACCCATTACAACAATGAGATGTACAAGACGTTATGTCAAAAAACAAACTTTTCAACTTTGGCAGGGTGGGGGTTGGGTGGTGGTGGTGGTGGTGGTAGGGGGGTGTGGGGTGTGGGGGTGGAGAGGGGAAGGGCTGGTATGGGGAAAAAAAGGAGGAGGCAACAATGCTTGATAAGAAATGTACTCACTATCTTGCCCATGTAATTGTAACCCCTCTGTATGGTATTTTCACAATAAATAATAATAATAATAATTAATTGGAAAAAAAAGAACTGCAATCCTGAGATCTTAGCCACCTAAGGTATTGTGTCAGCCGGGCACTGGTGGCTCACGCCTGTAATCCAAGCTACTCAGGTGGCTGAGATCTGAGGATCACAGTTCAAAGCCAGCCAGGCCAGGAAAGTCCGTGAGACTCTTATCTCCAATAAACTACTTAGAACACCGGCTGTGGCTCAAGTGGTAGAGCACTCACCTTGAGCCAAAGAGCTGAGACAGTACCCAGGCCCAGAGGTCAAGACCCACGACTGACCACCCCCCCCCCC